ACATATATTATTATTAATATATATTTATAGGACATTTATTTTATCTATATAAATACTAATGAATAAAAAGATACATTCTACAATATTAATAGTTTTTTTAGATTGACAAGTCAATTATTAATTTTTTAAATAAAATTGTATAATTTTTATCACATTAATCTATCATTATATTTACAAAATATTTACAAAAAAATACTAAACTATTTATATTGAGAAATCTTTAAGTTAAGATAAATTTAAAGTTTATAAAATTTTAATATAATAAAAAAATTTCTAGATAAATAGTAGAATATTATTTTGTGTGTTTTTTATCTTTCATATGAATACTTTTATGAACTTCAAATTACAATATCTTTTAAATTGATAATTTTTCGACATAAATAACTTAGTACTTTTTTGTAAGAAATGGCTATATATAATTGGTAAAAAAATTTCATTTAAAAAAAATGAAGGTATATGACTTCTACATATTCATTTATAGTGAAACAATGATTACTATATAATCTCTCTCTCTTTTTCTCTTTTCCTCTCTCTATATATATATATTCTCTTATATAATATATTATATATTATATAATATTATATATTCTAATATATATTCTATATATTATTATATATTCTATAAATATATTTATATATACTAAATATATATATAAATATTTCTATATAAANGTAAAAAAAAGTTTAGTTGAAATTAGTTTGAAAGTTAATATTAATTATATAAACAAATATTATACATATATATATAATTATATATGTATTTTGTACATACAATTATATCATTTATATAAGAATTTTATACAGAATTTTATTTAAAAAATTAAATATTTTAGGTTCTCTGGTTAAACTAATGTTAGGAGCATTAAAGGGATCTGGATGGTATGTAATAAATTATTTTTTTTCATTTATACTATTCATTCTAATTATAATATATCAAATATAAAAATTTTCAAAATATTTGTAATGTTGTGAATATTAAAATATAAAATATGAAATTATTAAATATTTGAAAAATAAACATTTTGGATATTATTTATTACTATTTTTGATCATTATTATTGAACATTTTTATTTATAAATATCTTATTTTAATTTTTTAAAATAACAATTATCTTAAATTCTTAAAATGAATTTATATAGTTATAGATATATATATTATTTTTAAATGGATTTACTTATTTTTGTATATATATTATAAAAATAGAATGAATAAGAATTAAAATTAAAGAAATTAAGAAATTTTTTATAATTCATTAACATTCAAAATATATTAAATGTAAAAATTTTTTCCTGAAAGAAAAAAATTTAAAGATAATCTTTAATATTTTTTTGTGCATACTAAAAAATAATCAACTGTTGAAAAATAATCAATTTGTAAAATTGTAATATTTTGTTAACATATATTATTTATAATATTTTTAATAATGATTTATAGTAATTATTATGTTAGTGTAAAAAAAAAGAAATAAAAGTAATTTTGCTTGTAAAAAAATAGACAAATATTGCAACTTAATTTTTTATGATTATTCTGATATAAACGATATTGATATTTATTATTAGCTTAGAATAAAATTTATCAAAGATTCATATTTTTAATTCTTATCTTGTCGTATTTTCATATTAAAAATCATAGATAGAATTAATTATGTATTTGCAATAAAAAATGTGTTTCAATATTTTTAAAATTTTTAAATATTTTATAAACATAAAAATCAACAAAAAAGTCATAAAAATAATATAGTAAAAAAGATCTTTAGCAATTGGCAAATAGCCATTCTAATATTTAAAACTTATTAATATTTTATGAAATATTAAAAAATTTATGAAACTTATATATATTTTCCAATTGAGATTTATAAAATATTAATAAAAATTTATAAACTGAAAAAATATTATTTTAAATATTATTTTTTATACTAAATTCCATATTATTGATATTCCGTAATTATTGATAGAAATAGTAAATTTGTTTATTAGCTCACTTATCCACGATTTTAATAATCTTAAAATATGTTATTTCATCATTTAGACAACTTTTTTTTTTATATAGTAATCGGCGATCGATTTTTTAAGTTATTCTTGAACAGAAATTTTTTCGATATTATACATTTTTATATTTTATTTATACATTCATATATTGAATTCTGTCTATATTTCTATTTTTTATTTTGTCTATAATTTTGTCTAGATTTCAAAACAAAATATATTATGTTATTATTTTTTGATATTATATTTATTTAATTTATTATATTTATATTATATTTAATTTAAAAATATTTAAAAAAATGTTTCATATTTTTATTGTTTTATTAAATTAAATATTATTTTTTTTATTTTTATATTATTTTATATTATTATTTAAAAATATAAAGTAAAATTC